GATGATGATTTTTCTGTCATTCCACGTAGTTAATAAGATGGCATTCGTCAAATAAGTGTATAGAGCGCTTTCCTTTTTTTTCACTATTTTCTCATAATCGGCTCATTTTTACTTGGCATGTTATAAACAAATACAGTGATTATTCTTTTCGATATTTAAATTGTCTTAAATTTGACCAGTGAGAGAACCTTCAAATTGGCTCCCATGTCCTTCTGACATTATCCCTTTTTTAAAGAATTTTTTTAAGTTTATTTATTTTTGATAGAGACAGAGACAGCACGAGCAGGGATAGGCAGAGAGTGAGGGAGAGAGAGAATCCTAAGCAGGTTCCATGCACAGAGCCTGATGCAGGGCTCTTCCCCACAAAACCATGAGATCATGACTTGAGCTGAAACCAAGAGCCAGATGCTTAACTAACTCAGCCATCCAGTCACCCCTGGCATTATCCTTTAAGTGCTTGTCTTTAAGTGCTATCTATTTGTTTTGTTTCATAAAAAAGATACCTCAGACACATTTTACAATTTCCTTGCTCGAAATATGGAATCAACCATTCCTTCAATGAACCCTGGTTCCTTTCAGTCAGGAATAGCATTTGGAAACCAAAATCTGGGTACCAAGGATGGTTATTGCTATTGAATAAGCAAACATGTTTTTATCTGGAATATCTTGCAAATGGCTCTGTCCAGTGTTAAACACTGAGGTCTTTTAAAAAGCTCATTTCCCAGTAAATATACTTCGTAACTAAAAAGACATTTTCTAATGAGTTGACAGGTCATGAAATATGCTATGCTAAATATCTGCTTTTAATTCTAAAACCTTTCTCAGACAAACAGTTCTAACTAGTTTCATTGGGACAGTTTATTAATGATACCAACTGTGAAAGTGAAATATAAAATTGTGGGAAGTAGGCCCAGGGAAAATGTATCTCAAAAATATGGAAAATGATTAGATAACCAATTTTAGCTGATGACTAGAAGTTTAATAATAAAATATTCACCTATCACTTTACACAAAAGAATCCCTAAAAGGTGTATAACAAAAACAAATGAAAAGGCAATCTTTTATGTCAAAACCAAAAAGCAATTTCACTATCTGGGCCTCGGCTGGGTATGAGGACTTATGTACAGTGATTACAAAAGCAGGGGTAATTAGGGACACCTAAGAAAAAGAAAGAACATGACTATAAGTCAATAAGACTGCAGTTAGGAGGAATCTATCAAACATACAAATAAAACTGAAGCAATTATCGCTGTTGTGCCAAACCAGTTTACGAAACAAACAATAAGTAGTACTCGCGGGACGTGAGGTTGGAAGTGAATTATTATAATTCATGGTTATAATTATCACAGAAAACAGGAGCTGAAAACTTAGATTGTAGTCTTGACTCTGCTCAAGAAGCTCAATTTCGTTAGCTATAAATAAGCTAAATTAAAATTCCACCTGGCTCTAATGAGCCACCAGGTCTAGTCAGATTCTGCAAATACACACCTTCTGCAACAGAAAACCAAGTATTTGGTTTTTTTCTATTTTATTTTTTTCTTTCATAGTTTATTGTCAAGTTGGTTTCCAGTGCTCATCCCCACAAGTGCCCTCCTCCATGCCCATCACCCCCCTTCCCCTCCCCCCCAACCCCCATCAGCTTGTTCTCAGTATTCAAGAGTCTCTCCTGGTTTGCCTCCCTCCCTCTCCCCAACTACTTTTTCCCCTTCTCCTCCCCCATGGTCCTCTGTTAAGTTCCTCCTGATCCACTTATAAGTGAAAACACATGGTATTTCTCTGCCTGACTTATTTCACTCAGCATTACACCCTCAAGGTCCATCCATGTTGCTACATGACCAGATTTCATTCTTTCTCATTGCCATGTAGTATTCCATTGTATAGATAAACCACATCTTCTTGATCCATTCATCAGTTGATGGACACTCAGGCTCTTTCCATGTTTTGGCTATTGTTGAGAGTGCTGCTATGAACATTGGGGTATATGTTCCCCTATGCATCAGCACTCTTGTATCCCTTGGGTAAATCCTTAGCAGTGCTATTGCTGGGTCATAGGGGAGTTCTATTGTTCATTTTTTGAGGAACCTCCACTGTTTTCCAGAGGGGCTTCAGCAGTTTACATCCCCACATCCTCACCAGCATCTGTTGTCTCCTGATTTGTTCATTTTAGCCACTCTGACCGGCGTGAGGTGGTATCTCAGTGTGGTTTTGAGTTGTATTTCCCTGCTCATGAGGGACACTGAGCATCATTTCATGTGTCTGTTGGCCATCTGGATGTCCTCTTGGAGAAGTGTCTGTTCATGACTTCTGCCCATGTCTTTACTGGGTTGTTTTTTGGGTGTGGAGTTTGGTGAGTTCCTTATAGATATTGGATACTAGCCCTTTATTGATATGTCATTTGCAACTATCTTTTCCCATTCCATCAGTTGCCTATTAGTTTTATGGATTGTTTCCTTTGCTGCGCAGAAGCTTTTTATCTTGAAGAGGTCCCAACAGTTCATTTTTGCTCTTGATTCCCTTGCCTTTGGGGATGTGTCGAGTAAGAAATTGCTGCGGTCGAGGTCAAGAAGGTTGTTTCCTGCTTTCTCCTCTAGGGTTTTGATGGTTTCCTGTCTCACATTCAGGTCCTTTATCCATTTTGAGTTTATTTTTGTGTATGGTATGAGAAAATGATCTAGTTTCATTCATCTGCATCTTGCTGTCCAGTTCTCCCAGCACCATCTGTTAAAGAGGCTGCCTTTTTTTCATTGGATACTCTTTTCTGCTTTGTCAAAGATTAGTTGGCCGTACATTTGTGGGTCCAATTCTGAGTTCTCTATTCTATTCCATTGGTCTATGTGTCTGTTTTTGTGCGAATACCATACTGTCTTGATGAAGACAGCTTTGTAAGTAGAGGCTAACGTCTGGGATGGTGATGCCTCCCGTTCTGGTTTTTTTCTTCAATACTACTTTGGCTATCTGGGGTCTTTTGTGATTCCATACAAATTTTAGGATAGTTTGCTCTAGCTTTGAGAAGAAAGCTGGAGCAATTTTGATTGGAATTGCATTGAATGTGTAGATTGCTTTGGGTAGTAATGACATTTTAACAATATTTATTCTTCCAATCCAGGAACATGGAATGCTTTTGCATTTCTTTTGTCTTCAATTTCCTTCATAAGTTTTCCATAGTTTTCATCATACAGATCTCATATCTTTGGTTAGGTTTTTTCCTAGGTATTTTATGGTTTTTTGTGCAATTGTGAATGGGATCAGTTTCTTGATTTCTCTTTCTGTTGCTTCATTGTTGGTGCATAAAATTGCAACCAATTTCTGTACGTTGATTTTGTACCCTGCAACTTTGCTGAATTCATGATCAGCTCCAGTAGGCTTCTGGTGGAGTCTGTAGGGTTTTCTATGTAGAGTATCATGTCGTCTGCAAAAAGTGAAAGTTTGGCTTCTTCTTTGCCAATTCTGATGCTTTTTATTTCCTTTCGTTGTCTGATTGCTGAAGGTAGGACTTCCAGTACTATGTTAAACAACAGTGGTGAGAGTGGACATCCCTGTCGTGTTCCTGATCTCAGGGGAAAGCTCTGTTTTTCCCCATTGAGGATGATGTTAGCTGAGGGCTTCTCATAGATGGCTTTTATGATGAAAACCAAGTATTTGTATGACTGCCTCTCAGTTTACTGCAACTTCTATAATATTAGCCTAAGACTCTATTCAGTAATGTTGAATCAAATCAAGTTAAGGAATAATATAAGGAAAAGGAAAAGAGACTCGCTTTGGACAAAATTTTAATTTCCAAAACTAAATTGTGAATTAATGAAACCACTTTTTTTAAAATATTTTTATTTATTTCTAGGAGAGAGAGAGAGAGAGACAGCGTGAGCAGGGGAGGGTCAGAGAGAGAGGGAGACACAGACTCTGAAATAGGCTCCAGGCTCTGAGCTGGCAGTAAGCACAGAGCCCGACATGGGGCTCGAACCCACGAACCACGAGATCATGACCTAAGCGAAAGTTCGACGCTTAACCGACTAAGCCACCCAGGCGCCCCATGAAACCACTTTTTAATTATCAGACTTTTGAAAAAAATATATATTCCAAAGCTGTGTGCATATCACATATGTGTATAGACATTTACATTTAAATATATAACCTGTTCATTAAAAAGTGAGCTTGATTATTTCCATGTAAAAATTTGAATTTAAAGAAATCCTTTTTATCTTGAGTTTCTCTTCAGGGAAAAGAGCATGCCCTCTATTTGCCTGCCATTTAAGCAAATTAAGACTTCACGCTTATTCACTGTAACTCAATGACTGTTCTTAAAAGATCATTCATACTGAAGCTTACTCTTAGGGAAAAAACTCTAATGAAAGAAACAAAATTTAGGGGGCGCCTGGGTGGCTCAGTCAGTTAAGCATCCAACTCTTGATTTCAGTTCGTCATGATCTCAGAGATCAAGTTCCACATCACACTCTATACTGGGTGTGGAGCCTGTTTGGGATTATCTCTCTCTCTCTCTGCCCCTCTCCCCAACTTGTGCTCTCACTCTCTCTAAAAAAAAAAAAAGAAAGAAACTCTCTCTCTCTCTCTGCCCCTCTCCCCAACTTGTGCTCTCACTCTCTCAAAAAAAAAAAAAAAAAAAAAAAAAAAAAAAAAAAAAAAAAAAAAAAAAAACAAAGAAAAGAAAAAAAAAGAAACAAAACTTATATTCCATTATTTTTGTTTTTTTTCAAGTTAGGCCTTTTATACTTTTTCTATGAATTTAAAAATTATTATATGTTCTTTGTAACCTTAGCATTTAATATTTAATTGTTCTTATAAAATTTGACAAATCAGCGTTCTTCATAATTCTACCAATCAATTTTACCATGACTTAGGGATAACTAGCATATTTCCTCCCGAAACAAAAAAAGTCTTCATCTAATCTGGAGTTGCTGCCCTAGTTATTATTCTCCAGTGAGGAGTCTTGAATTATCTGAGAAAAGAATTAAACTTCACAAGGCTCATCAGCTCTGAGAAATCTCTGATGCTGAGTAAGGGAGGAGCTGTAGATAAAAGGCTTCCCATATTTCTTCGATCTATAGTTTTTCCTTAGTGTGAACTTTTTTGTGTCTACAAAGGTTTGATCTGTAACTGTAGGCTTTCCCACACTCCATGCACTTGTAGAGTTTCTCACCAGTATGGATCCTCTCATGTTCCGTTAGGAATGAATACTGGCTTAAGGCTTTCCCACACTGATTACACTGGTAGGGTTTCTCTCCGGTGTGAATTCTCTGATGCCTGTACAGGTTGGATTTGCAACCAAAGGCCTTCCCGCATTCTCCACATGGATAAAGCTTCTCCCCGGTGTGAATTTTACGATGTTCACTGAAAGATGAATACTGGTTGAAGGCTTTCCCACATTCGTTGCACTGGTAGGGTTTCTGACCAGTATGAATTCGCTGGTGCTCCATAAGGGTGGAGGTGCGTGTGAAAGTTCTCCCACATTCCAAGCATTTACACAGCTGCTCTCCAGTATGAAGCTTCTGATGTTCAGCCAGGGATGCGAATCGGCTGTACCCTTTCCCACAGTCACTGCATTTATAGGGTTTCTCCCCTGTGTGGATTCTTTGGTGTCTGTGAAGTTTCGCTCTACAAGTGAAGGCCTTCTCACACTCAGCACATTTATAGAGTTTCTCTCCAGTATGAATTCTCTGATGGAGAGTGAGGGTTGAACACTGGCTAAAAGCTTTACCACACTCCTTGCACTGGTAGGGTTTCTCGCCGGTGTGCACCCTCAGATGTCTGATTAGGGTTGAGCTGCTGCTAAATACTTTCTCACATTCATTACATTTGTAAGGTTTCTCTCCGGTGTGAATTCTCTGATGGGCAAGAAGGGACGATCTGTGGCTAAAGGGTTTCCCACACACATTACATCTGTAAGGTTTCTCGCCAGTGTGAATTCTCTGGTGTTCAATCAGATGAAGACTCTGGGTGAAGCTTTTCCCACATTCATTATAAAGATGAGGTTTTTCTCCTGGGTAAATCTGGAAGCATCTCATTAGATCAAAACTCTGTTTAAAATCTCGCCCAAAAGTGTAACATATATTGGGTATCCTTTCTATGGGAACACTTTGCTGTTTGACAAGAATTGAATTTATAAGTAGGCCTTTCCCCAATTCAAGACGTGTCTGCTTTACATCTCCACTCACGGCTTTTTTGTGTAAGGCCGCCATTTGCTGAAGAGCTTTCTTCTGCTGCTCCTGTTCTGTTCCACTCTCCGATTCCAAATTCCGTTCAAAACTGATGTCCCAGTGACAAAACTTCATGGACTTTTTCTTCATTATTCCCTGAGATGTTTCTTCTATAGAAATGTCCTTCCTGGGAGGCAAAGCTTCCATTTCGGGCCAAGTCTTGAAACCTGAAATGAATCGGAAGTTGATGGCACCTCTACCAGAAGAGAGAAACATGAATCCGTGGAACAGTAAAACTGGCAACAGTACGTATAAATGAGGTTTGGGGGCACCTGGGTGGCTCAGTCAGCCAAGCGTCCGACTTTTGGTTTCAACTAAGGTCATGATCCCAGCGTCGTGGGATCAAGCCCTGCATTAGGCTCCATGTTGAGTGTGGAGCCTGGTTGAGATTCTCTCTCTCTCCGCCTCTCACTGCCCCTTCTCCCCTGCTCGTTTGCTCATGCTCTCTCTCTCTCTCTCGCTCTCTCTCTCAAAAAACATAAGTAAATAAAAAGAGGTTTGATACCTTTTTTGATCTCAAATATGGACTTGCCACTGGGGAAAAACAGGATAGGATGGAAAGGAAGAGTGGTAAACATGTGAAGGAGTGGTGTGGAAGAATACAGTGACCAGATTAACACTGGAAACAAAGACACTGCAACTTGAGAGAAGTAGAGGCAGAGAGAAGAACTGGTTGAGCAGAAGGTATGAAGCCACAGAAAAATGTCAGCTTCTAAGCTCCAGCTGAATGAACTGCAGCACATTTCAGTGTATCATTTCCTACTCTGTATGCCAGGACACGAGGCAGGAAACTTGTCTTTATTTTCTCCTTTCCTTTTTTCTTTTAAAGTTTTCTTCTGTATTTTTTTTTTTTTTTTTTTTTTAGTAATCTCTACACCCAACATGGGGCTCGAACTCACAACCCCAAGATTTAGAGTCGCATGCCCCCCCAAATGAGCCAGCTAGGTGCCCCATCTTCTCTTTTCTATTCACATGTGGCTTTTATTATGTTAGTGCCTAGGCTGTCACTGAAACTCTAGGTATGATGATTTAAAAATATCTGTGATGTTTTCCTTAAATTTTGTGAAACTATATGTGACCATGATTTCATATCATAGTCTGTGAAAGAAGAAACAGTCTGTGACGAAAAGGATGTTCAGGTTTTACAGCAGCCCTGAAGTATGACTACACTGAGGATTTCTGATCTAAATTCAAGACACTGACTATAAAGAAGAGGGAGATATGGAATAAATCTGCCTCATGCAAAAACGTAACCCTGGTGATAGGAGGAATAGCCGTTTTTTTCATACTTCCCTGCCTCTACTTTTCCCTTCCAACTCGATCACGAGGAAAAATAGATATAGTCATCTCTTCTAATGAACTGCAACCAGAAGACTGACCTCCTTCTGTAGGAATCTTTTTTTTTTAATTTTTATGTATTTATTTATTAAATATTTTTAAAAAATTTTTTTAATGTCTATTCATTTCTTTTTGAGAGAGAGAGAGAGAGAGAGAATATAAGGGAGGGGCAGAGAGAGAGGGAGACAGAATCCAAGCAGGCTCCACGCTCCGAGCCGTCAGCACAGAGCCCGATGCAAGGCTCAAACTCATGATCCATGAGATCATGACCTGAGCTGAAGTCAGACGCTTAACCAACTGAACCACTCAGGCGCCCCCTAAAGATTTTATTTTTAAGTAATCTATTTCCAGCATGGGGCTCAAACTCACAACCCCAAGATCAAAAGTTGCATGCTCCACTAACTGAGCCACCCAGGCACCCCTGTGGGAATCTCTTTAGACCAATGAAAGTCTATAAGAAATGTGGAGTCAATATGCCCCAAAGTTCTGAAATATGCCCAAGTCCCAAGCTCAGATATGATGCTAAGTGAAAGGATTCAGCTTGAGCTGATTCTAAGGAACTGTGGGCTCAAATATGGCTTTCTTTAATCAACCCACGATTGAAAATAGATTAAAACTAGGTCTGTGTACTTAGGTAACTGTATGTACTTAAATAAACAATAAAACAAAGTATAACTAGGTTATTTAGGTTAATAAAAATCCATCAAGTTTTAGCAATAAACATGATTAAAATTTGACAGTAATAGGAAAAAGATGCACAGACTATAAATTTGAATTAAAATACAGATTTTTCTTCATGATGTTAATGGGAAATAGATTTTTCTTCATGATATTAATAGGAAATCTAGCAGTTTGCAACTTAAAGGATCGACCAGATTACCTCCTCTCGTTTTAACCTTTGTCACAATATGACATTCCTTGCCCATCCAGAAACTTACCAGGCTACTCTAATCTCATGACTAAAGCCTAAACTAGTCATCGTCTCTTAGAATTCCAAAACACATTTTACTTAAATATTCTATCACTTAACATATATACATACACGAAGTCTGAAAATAATTCAAGTATTTGTTTAAAGAGAATACCTTGATTATTGTTAATTATTAACATTATATATTACAATGTATATTACATACATATGTTCTATGTTAACATTATAAGTATTAACATAATTATTTGTTAATTCCTTACTGTGCACGTGACAAGCATGCAATTAGAGTGTCTTAGGTAAAAAAATAATGGGGGCATGTGGGTGGTACAGTCGGTAAAGTGCCCAACTCTTGATCTCACCTCAGGTCATGGTCTCCCGGTTCAGGAGTTTGAGCCCTGCATCAGGCTCTGTGCTGATGGTGCGGACCCTGTTTGGAATTCTGTCTCTCCTTCTCTCTGCCCCTCCCCTTCTTGTGCTTTCTTTCTCTCTCAAAATAAATAAATAAAAATTTAAATTTTTTTTAAAAAAAATAATGCATGAATGGGCAGAGTTAGTTGGAAAAATAATGAAGAGTGAGTGACCTCAAAAATGAAAAGAGATTCTCTCCTCTCGTACTGGACTCCTGAAACCCAGTCATTTACTGAACAAATAGTGAATAGTCAGCAACGATAATATGAAATGCACAAATGATTAAACAGTAATGGTTCATTTCTCCTTAATATGAGAAGCCTCAACTGTAATAATGTAGGTATGAGGTTCAGAGAACCAAGATACCAACAGTATTAGCAAGGAGTGGTTTTATGAAGGAAGCTGGATAATAAAGAGGGAGGGAATGGATTTTAATAGAAAAAGAAAAGAGGACCCTATGAGTCAGAAAGAAGGCCTGATCAAAGTCATCTGTAGGGAAAGTAAACCTATGGGGGTGGGGGGGGGCTTCTCAACTAAAGAAGTAAATCTAGGTTGGAATTCATTGAAATATTTTTTTGGTAATGTTTATTTATTTTTGAGAGAGAGAGCGCACGGCACACACGTGTGTGAGCACAGACGCATGCGCACAAAAGTGCACAAAAAGGGGAGGGTCAGAAAGAGAGGGAAACACAGAATCTGAAGCAGGCACCAGGCTCCAAGCTGTCAGCACAGAGCCCAATGCGGGGCTCAAACCCACAAACTGTGAGATCATGACCCTGGCTGACATCAGAGGCTTAACTGACCGAGTCACCCAGGCGCCCCTGGAATTCGTTAAAAATTTGATTATAACAGGGTGAGGCCAAACACAGAGTTCCTGAACAAGAGGCAGAAGAATTCAGAATAAGAATACAGGTCACAGAAGGGGTTGGAAGTTCTTAGGCAGGTAGTAATAGGAAGAGGTGGTCTTAGTTGGTGAAGAAGGAGGGCAGAGTGGAAGGTGAGCAGTGATGTAGCGCCATGGTCTGGCTGCGCTGAGTACTTAATTTCCAGCTTCCTCAGCACTGAGTTCATCATAAAGGTAGTTCAATTCTACTCAAAAAATATTAAGTGAAGGGAGTATATCTGATGCGAGAGGCACAGAATTCAAACATAGACCTGTTTTCTTCCTTAAATATACACAATCCAATTAGGAAAAGAAAGAATAAGAGAATCACTCTAATTCACTATGACAGATGCTGTAACGGATGTGTTCAAGGCATGCAGAAAGTGCTGTATGAATGTGACTGACTGGAAAATGAATGCTGACTGGGAAGCAGAAAAAATAAGGAAGACCCGCTGATCGGAGGGCAGATAGGTCCTGAAGGGTAAGAAGGTTTCCCGTGGACAAGAAGGAAGCGGTAATCCAGGAAGGAAAGAAACACAAATGTTAATGAGGGTGCAGGTTTGGCAGGAACATGGAGCCAGAGTGGAAGCTGCCACTGATTCCTGTAAGGGAACAGGGACAATGGCTATGAAGTAGGTTTAATGTCACATTAAGGAATTTTACTTCCATGGGTGAGTGGAGAAACAACAAAGTCTCTTAAGATACAGGACTAACACCTGAGTTTCGAAAAGATCATTTATTCTGCTGAGGGCCCAGGAGGTGGGAGAGGAGAACAAGGCTCAGAGAGGGTAGGTGACTTTCCCCGTAGCTCAGAGCACTCGGCAGCAGTGGCAGGGGTAATGTGAAACTAGGAACGTCCAAAGTCAAATCATGATCTTACGTGCTAGGCTGTACTACTAAATCTTTCTTTAGAGAAAACTGTATTTTATTTTCTTTTTTTTTAAATCTTTTAAATGTTTATTTTCAAGAAGAGGGAGAGGGGCAGAGAGAGAAAGAGACACAGAATCCAAAGCAGGCTCCAAGCTCTGAGCTGTCAGCACAGGGTCTGACACAGGGCTTGAACTCATGAACCACGACACCATGACCTGAGCCGAAGTCGACGCTTAACCAACTGAGGCTCCCAATCTCTGTCACACGGTGAACAGAAATGACACTGGTGATTGTGGCTTCTCTCGCTGCTTTTCAGCTATTCCAGCTCTGCCAACAAAGTGTCTGACAACCCCTGATGCGCTGTTTCTTCTGCTATAAAAAGACGTGTCTAAAGTTGACTGTCTTCAAGTGATCCTCTAACTTGACGACTTACAGTTTTATGATAAAGACCAGTGAGCTTAGGTGAGGCTAGAAGAGGAGTCTGCAAACTACAGACTCCGAGGTCAACTCCAGCTGACACCTTTCTGTTGCTAGAAGGCAGCCACACGGAGGGGGAAGACTACTTACTGTCTCTGTCTGCATTTGCATTACCTCGCATTAGGACGGCCCAGTGCAAGGGCTGCAGCACAGACGCGTGGCCCCCGCCAAAATGTTTACCATCTGGTCCACTGTGGGAAAAGGGTGTGGAGAAAGGCTACAGGGGTCACGGGGCCCTGGCTGACTCTCACAGCGGGACACAAAGCCCCAGTCTCCAGGGACATAAAAGGGAAACACTGAGTTCACGGGAGTGTTGACAACACCCTGAAATATGGGGTTGGTGAAGAATTCAAGACGTGACCGAAGGTGTAAAGTATTTAAAATCTGTCACGTGTAATCGCACATGGGAAGAAAACCGTGGAGACCAAGAGGCCAAAATGGCAGAAGAAAGCGAGCGACGCGGTGTAGGAGGAAAGAGGGACCGCAGGCGTGTTACACAGGCAAAGAAAGAGGTCTCCACAGGGGCCTTCCTGCTGCACAGAAAACCGTCACCGCCACGGAGCATCCTGTCAGGTGGCCCCCGCTCAGCACTTCCAGGAAGGCTCTCAGGGCACCGCCTCCTCCCGACCTGCTCAGGTATAACCCCTGCCCCGTGCCGGGTTCCCAGCCGCGCTCACCCAGACAGGTGTCTTGATCTTGAGGGGTTTCCCTTTCCAGCACGCTGGGATCCTCGCCTTGTTGCAGCCGGCAGATCACCTTCGGCGTCGCGGATGGAATCCCTGCTCGTGGGGAAAGGGACGGAGTTTGAGTGCACGGCTCGACTCCAGAGATCCCAAACCGGGCCAACGGTGCGGAGAAGGGAGCCCGGCAAGAGGCACATCAGGGGCGGGTCTCGGTTCTGAAACAGCACAGCCGCCCACCCCACCCCACCCCACTCCCACCCCCCACCCCTGCGGGACCCAGTGAGTGGAGGTGGACGACCCTGGTCAGGAGGCGGGGTGGGAGGAAGGCAGAGGAAGGGCATCCGGACCAAATGGACGCCTTGAACTCCGCAGAGGCTCGTCCTTTCCCAGGGGTGCGGCGGGGGAGACACTGCGGACTCTGAACCCCAAAGGGGCAGCTCTAAGGCGCCCCCACAGCTGATGCTCTGTAAGAGGCCAGCCTCCTTACCCAGCGAGACCAGGGTGCCGTAGTTCTCCAGCATCACCTCCCGGTACAGGGTTCTCTGCGCCGAGTCCAGGCGCAGCCACTCGTCCCGGCTGAAAACTACGGCCACGTCCCTGAACGTCACGGTCGCCTGCAACGGCAAACCCACTCCTGCTCATCGGGGACCAACTTCGGCACCACTCGGTACCAGGGGAGACGCAGCGGGTGTGTGGCAGCCAACCCAGAAGATGTCCCAGAATTCTAAGTATAGTTCAAACAGGCTATTTCTGTTACTTTTGGGACACTCCCCATCCCACCCCCACCCCCACAATGACACAAATACTTACGGAGAACCCACCAGGTGCTGTGTGAGGGCAAAGGGGGGAGAAAGGCAAAGCCCCCGCCAACAGGGAGTTTAAATGCCAGGCTGGAATCAGTCAAGTAACTTGAGCACAGACATCCACCTCCCTCTCACTCAAACGCCAAATTAAAGGAAAGGGGGGAAAATCAGAACACACCTAGAGCAATGCCAGAAAACTGTGGAAGAGCCATTAGCAGGACAGACACGAAAAGGAATTTCTGAGATGTAAAGCGAATGATAAAAATGGTATTAACGCATGTTTACTGAATACTTGTATTGTGGTAGGGTCCCCTCCCTAAGGAGAGAGAAAAAAGGGAGAGGAAACTTCAAGGTCACCTGGCTACATGCTTATGTGACAACATCCCTCACGACTTTGAAAACTGAGACTATTTACTCAGACTGCATGTTTATGTGTGTTACTGTATATGGGAGACAAAGAAATAGAAAATGTATAAAAAACTATGCCATGTGATGTCTGGCCCTCAGTTCTTTGGGTATGAACCCAAGCGAGCGGTCCTGGCATGAATGCAAGCTGCTTCCTGGATAAAAACCCTCGATGTCACCTCACGACTCTCTGTGCAAGAATCCTGCTACAGTATGTCAGGGACTATGACAGGAACTTTGAACATCGTCGTATCTTCTCAAAGTTTCAAAGAAATTCTATGAGGAAGACACTATAATTAAATCATTTTGTAGATGAAGAAACGGCTCAGAAAGGTTACGATAGCTCCCAAGGTAATCCTGTTGGAAACGTAGAGATTGGAACCGAATTCAGGCAGACTGTGGGTATCCACTGTCTATGGAAACTAAAAGACCTGGGGTGGTGGAGCTTCCTTGGGATTCTTGGTCTCCCTCTCTCTCTGCCCCTCCCCTGCTGGCTCTTGGTCTCTCTTAAAATAAACATTTTAAAGATTTTAAAAATAAATAAAAGACCCAAAGGACCTGTAAGACTATACACGTGCCAAAAGGGACTGTGAGAATGTCAGTTCTTCCAAGAGAACCCCATTAACCCCCAAATGTGAGAAAGCAGAGGCTGGCCAATCACCAACTCTCGTATGAAAGGGCTGGAAGGCATGATAAAGGATTGTGTACGCTCTGACCTTGTGATTCCACTACAAGAGATCCTCACACAAGTGAGTTCGGGGTATGTATTCAAGGACGTTCCTGGAAACTTTATTTGTGAGCCAGTGGTTGTGCTAGGCTGAGTAACAAACCTGTGAATGTTATATATGTGACTAAAAGGACCCTGATGATCTTCTTAAGGATTTTTATTTTGAGATTGGGAAGATCCTGGATTTTTACCCAGATGGATCCAGTATGTATATGTGTGCACACAAAAGTATTTGGAAGAATACAAGTTGTCCACCCTAATCATTCTTTCATGTTTATGGAGGAGCAGAAGAGCATCTTTTATTACTTTCTACCCTTCAAGTGGGCTGACATTGTTTACCCAGTGTGTGCATTTATTTTTTTAATTTTTTTATTTTTTGGAGAGAGAGAGTGCGCTTGGAAGAGGGGAAGAGAGGCAGACAGACAGACAGACAGAGAGAGGCTCCCGAGCAGGCTTCAAGCACAGTGTGAAGCTTCACGCTGGGTCTCACAACCCTGAGGTCATGACCTGAGCTAAATCAAAAGTTGGATGCTTAACTGACTGAGCCACCCAGGCGCCCATTTTGAATTTTTGTTTTTTTGCATTCCATTTTACATATGACTTTTCAGCTATACCTCTTTGCATTTTTTTTTAAAGATTAAAAAAAAAATTGGGGGGTGCCTGGGTAAGTCAATCGGTTAAGTGTCCAACTTCAGCTCAGGTCATGATCTCGCAGTTCGTGGGTTTGAGCCCCGTGTCGGGCTCTGTGCTGACAGCTCAGAGCCTGGAGCCTGTTTCAGATTCCGTGTCTCCCTCTCTCTCTGCCCCTCCCCCACTCATGCTCTGTCTCTGTCTCAAAAACAAAGAAACCATAAAAAAAATTTTTTAAAGATTAAAAATAAATTTTTAAGTAATCTCTACACCAATGTGGGGCTCGAACTTACAACCCGTGTCAAGAGTCTTGGGCTCCTCTGCCTGAGCCAGCCAGGCGCCCCACCTCTTTGCATTGTTAGTGGTTGCTCTGAGAATGATAACATACATCCTTCGTTCTTTATACTCTATTTAGAGCGAATATCTGATTTCACACAGAACATAAAGACGTGCAAGTATATGGGAACACCAGCCCATCTTCACGCTATTGTTAAAAACACACCCCCCATTCAGAGAGCTGGCAGGACTCAGCAGCCATCACCAAGCACGCTCACAGGAGGCAACAGGGACAAATGCAATAGGACACAGAGAGCGCGGCGAAGCCCTGGAGGACTGAGAGACGGTCCCTGCGCAAGCTCCCTGCGCAAGCTCCCGGTACTTGCACACACAGCCCAGGCCATGTCCTGGGATCTGTAGGAGGAACTTTGATGCCGAAGGGCTCTAAGGGGAAACACTCAGCAGGGGCCTTTTGTGTGTCAAGAAGGCTTGTCAAACCAGTGAGGCCATATGTAAAGATGATGGCCCTGGGGGGTGGGGGGGAGGCTGGTGGCACTGGGATCTTAAACAGCATATCCACTGTCCTTATTGTGCCTCCAAGTCAAAAATCAGCCACCCAGACCCTCCCCAGAGATAAAGACAGAGCTTTTCCAGAGATAAAGAGAGAGCTTTTCAGGGCGCCTGGCTGGCTCAGTCAGATAAGCCTCCAACTTTGGCTCAGGTCATGATCTCAGGGTCCATGGGTTTGAGCCCCGTGTCAAGTTCCGTGCTGACAACTCAGAGCCTGGAGCCTGCTTTGGACTCTGTCTCTCCCTCTCTCTCTCTGCCCCTTTCCCACTCATGCTCTATCTCACTCTTTCAAAAATAAACATTAAAAAAAAAAAAAAGAGCTTTTCGAGTCCAGCCATAAATGCACTCTATATACCCACAGTTGTCATGCTCATTACCTCCTCCACCTGTGGTATAAACCCCGGGATACAGTATTATGTTTTTGCTTGAACCGATCATAGGCATTTTAAAGAAACTGAGAGGAAAAAGTATTTATATTTCTCCACATGGCTTCCTTTTCCAATGCTCTCCATTTCCTTCCTAAGATGAGAGCTCCCAGCTGGCATTATTTCCTTTCAGCTGAAGCAAGCATCTATTTAGCTTATATTGCAGGGTGGGCCTGCTGCCCATGACTTAGCTTCATTTTCATTTATATGAAAAGGTCTTTACTTCATCTTCATTCTTTTATTTTAAGTTTATTTGAGAGAGAGAGAGACAGGGAGAGAATCGCAAGCAGGCTCCACACCCTCAGCGCAGAACCCAACACAGGGCTCAATCTCACAACTGTGAGATCATGACCTGAGCCGAAATCGAGTTTGATGCTTAACCAACAGAGCCACCCAGGCACCCCTGCTTCATCTTCCTTCTTAAAGAATATTTTCATTGGTTAGAGAATTCTGGGTTCACAGTTTCTTTCTTTCATATAAAGTGTCATTCAGTCATTTTCCAGCCCTTGTTTCTGTTGAGAAGCCAATGGACATTCAGATATTGATGCTCTATATTTAATACAGTACTCTTTACTAGGTCTGCTTTCAAACCTTCAGTTTTCAGTAAATTAGGGTTCAAAAATAAAACCCCATAAAAAACTGGCTCTCATTTGCAAACATCCCTGTCTTCATTTTCCCTTAGCTAAAATCAAGTGGGTCTCTCAGAAAAGCTTGCGGGTGTGGGAAAAGCTCACGGGTGTGGGAAAAGCTCGGACTGTGAAAAGCCCTACCTGTGTGCAGAGGGTAGCCCGAGTCATAGCTGGATACTGCCTTCACTTCATCTTGCTGGCCTTCATATTTTGGTTTCCCCAAAACACACATCTCCTTATAATTAGAGAATCAAAGCAAAGTCTAGCCTAGTGGCAAGAGGCAGACCAATCTGGCAGGCCCTAAAATAATGCTGTTGCTGGTTATGGTGATAATAATGGTATTAACAGCTAGCATTTATTGAGGTTTAACATGCACCATGCACTGTTCTCAGAATTTTACATATATTAAGTTCTCAGAGCATAACGTTAACTGTATAGGCTGTGTTGTCTGGGTACTGGGAGACCCTCGTCAAGTTATTTGCTTCCCCGTGCCTCAGTTTTCACACTCGTAAGATGCAGATATTAACAGTCCTCGTACACGGATGAAACGAGGTATGTACATTATTAATCCCACTTGGAAATGAGACACACAGAGAGAATATAACTTGCCAAGGTCACATGCCCAGCTTGGAGATGAACTTATGAACTCAAGTTCGAGAGTCCACATTTGTAACCTGTAGGCTACCACTACTTTGGGGGGAAAGTGGCCAATGAAACCAGAGGCTTTGGGGATGGCAGAACAGGAAACCCATGGAAGGAACAGGAGCTGGCGCTGGGGGAAAGCAGACTTCCACGTGGAAGTATCTCCTAAGAGTTATAGACTGTGTCTCTAGGGAAAAGCTGTGGTCTGAGGACAGAGATCTGGGAAAGATCTTCAGAAGATTAAGGTAATGAAAATGGACCTCAGGGGCACCTGGGTGGCTCAGTTGGTTAAGCGTCTGACTCTTGATTTTGGCTCAGGTCATGATCTTGCAGTTCGTGAGATCAAGCCCTGAGTAGGGCTATGCACTGACAGCATGGAGCCTGCTTGGGATTCTCTCCCTCTTTCTCTCTGGCCTTCCTCTTCCCTCCCTCTCTCTCACAAAAATAAACTTAAAAAAAAAAAAAGA